GGAGGATGAGATGAAGAGGCCAATCCATTACTGCAGCCATCTACCACTGGAAAGCAATAGCACTAATGATACAGGTTTTCAATAGCTGATTTATATTATCCTGCAGTCAATAAGAACTCATGATTTTGTCACTGTACTGTTTAAAGCAACACTCCCAAATGCTGGCAGGCCCCAAATCTGACCCTCTGTAACACTGCTGCTGTGTTACGAGGGGGTGAAAACTTAACAACCTCCCACCAGTCCTCCAGAGTATGGTCTGGACAAGCTCTTTGCTTGCTGAGCAGTGGGTCCTCTGAGCCCCCAGTTGTTATGAGGCTCGTTCTGGGGAGTGATTCCTGTTCAGACTCCCTATGGCTCCACCAGCTCCTCTGGCACCGTGCCATCCAGAGGAAGGATGGAGGAGTTACAGTCCTTACTCAGGGAAATATTGCACTTTAAGTCTCGGTGACTGACTGCTAATTTGGTGGTGATTGACAAGAAATGTGTCTTGGTGTCTATAAATGAGAGGCAGTAACTGGCTCCCCTCCTCTTCCTTCTAGTGATACAAGTACTTTGGGCAGCACAGAGGAAGTGCCTGCAGAATCCAGCATGGAGCAGAGCTCCTGAGGGAGAGAGGGCAGCAGCGAGGAGCTCTGTTTGCTGGAGAAAACGTTTGGTGAGCCGCAGGAGAGCCAGCCTGAGCAGGTGGTGGGCACGGCCCCATCCTCTCCTTGGGTTGTGTCCGAATCTGGGAATGGTCACCTCAGAGTGCTCCATCATAGCAGGTCAGCTCAGCCAGGCTGGGGGCTTGGTTTGGGAGGTGCTGGTGGTTCCCAGCAACATGTGCAGGAGGTAAAGGCTGTGTGCAGAGCAGCTGGGAGAGGGGAGTGTAGGTGCAGTGTGGAGCTTTGCACGCTCACGTGGGCTGACCTGCAGGGACCAGCAGTGTCTTTTTGGACTTGTACACACCCTGTTTTCACGCAAATATTCCATGCGGATTTATAACATGCGATGGCTGCCGAGCGTATTTTACACAGTCACAGTCTAGTGACTGAAGGATCCACTAATTAAGAAGTCCCTAATTAGGCTTTTAAATGATAAACTGTAATAGCTGTAGTGCAGCTGTTGTAAACTATAGAGTAAATTATACCCAGTTGAAAGAGGCTTTAATTACGTATTTATATAACATACTTTAAAGTCTTTGAAAGATAAAAGAATTTTTAGTATCTGCAATTAAAAAAACGAGTAACAACAGAGCTCTCAAACCAATGAAAGCAAGGAAATTCAAAGTTAATCTGAAAAGCTGTGCTGGTACTTTCTTTTATGCTCATGGTGTTCTAATTTTTGGGGGGATTGTTTTTGTTCTTTTTTGTTTTCATGACGGATGAGATAAAGGAGTATTTTCAGAGAGGAGTTTATATCCCCTGCTTTCATTTTTCTAGCTTTTATAGGTCCCTGTACAGCATTAATGATACTTGGCAAACTTTCTGCAGCTTTGTTTTTGCAGCAATCCTAGCAAGAACACCCTTATCAGCCAGCTTGTCTCCTTGCATTCTGATTTACAGAATGGTTGGTTGGACACATGCCTTTTTGAAGTCAACAGGAGCTCAAAAACTGGTCCTATTTGGGCCTTGGAGACTGTGTTCAGGCCAAATCTAGCCTGCATGTTTTTGGTGCAGTGTTGACAGCCATTCACCATACTGGGCTTACCAAGTGGAGAAGAGGGTTTGATGTGTCTGGGACAATTCACCTATTTGCTGCCACCACACAGAAGGTACAGACACTAGGCTGTGGTGTGCAGAGAGCTCAGTTCCTTTAGCTGCTCTTAGGGACTGGCCTTCCCAGCTGTAGGACCGAGCAGCCCATGACAGCCAAGCGAGGTAGTGCTGTTTTGCTTATTCCAGCCACATCTAAGTATTTTTATCTGGAAATGTCACAGTGAGGGAAATAAGGAATACAGTTCTCATAGTTAATTTTTATGGCTGATTAATTAGCCCAAAGAGTATTAAATTGTGCTAATGTAGTTTTCCTCTTCGATGCTGTCTTTTGACTTCAATGGAACTAAATACATGCTTAAAGTTAACTACGTGCCTAAGTGCTGTGGTGAATCGGGGCCTAGGGCATTAATTAGAACTTGGCTCAGATTTACTTTCAAGGCTTTCCCCCCCCTCTTTTTTTTTTTTTTACTCTTCAGTGCTCAGCAGTTTAATTGGTATGCAGATGTTCCCCTTTATTGCTGGCAGAGGCCTCTGTCACTATTCTGAAGGTACTCAGACATCAAGGCTGGTACAGTGGGCAGGAAGAAACCCCCCCCTGAAGGCTTTCAAGCTTTGTGGGAAATAATGATGTATGAGACAGGGATTCCTTTGGAACCTGAAGGGAACATGACAGACAGAATAATATGGGAGGAAAACATTGTCTTCACAATTGAGACTGATGGTCTCATCTTGTCTCCTTGTTATTGTTACCAACCAAGACTGAGATGAGCTTTCTTATGAAGAACTTCATTTTGTGGCAGGTCCTATATGTTGGACACACTGTGCTCGGTGGTAGCTTTCCATCCAAGGTACAGATATTGACAGGCTCTGAGGAACCCTTTGAGGTGGTGCTTTAGCTTAAAACCTAAAATTCCTTCCAGCATTGAGATGCATTTTGTCAGGAATGACAGTTGCAATTTGATAATCTTTTACCACTTTGCCTGCCTATCTCGAACTGCTTGCTGGAGGGGAGAAGCCAGAGTTGTTGGGCACAGGAGTGTCAGCTTTATGAATCAGCTTTTCGCGCACTTTATTAATTTCCCTTTCCAGTGGTTAGTGCATGTTTGCAAGAGACGATTTGTACGGATCTGTGTAGGATGGAGCAAAGCCGGAACTAAAGCACGAGTGCAAGTTGACAGCAATGCAATAGCTCTAATTGACAGATACCAAAGGCACTACTTAAAGCAACATTTCTTCTGGTGTTTAGGTTAGAAATGACCCTCAATTTGTCCTCAAGTTGCCATGTTCAAAAAGAAGCGTTTTCGTGTATATTCATTTCTAATGGATTAACCAAAATACCAAGTGCTCATTTTCTACACTTGTATTTTCAAGTTAGATGATTCAAAATGCTGTTGTGCAAGGTACAGGAAGATGTCTGCTTCTTAACTCCTCCAGAGTAAAAGCTGTCTTTCAGGGGACACTTTGCACATGTGAGATTTGTGTTAGTATTTTTTGGCACCCACAGTTCGCATTTCACCTAATGGGAGGCAGAAAGACTAATACACATGATACATGTTGTGGGTGCAAAAATGCAAATAGAAATTGCACCCACCATGGAAAGGGCTGGGAAAATGTACTTTCTTGGATGTGAGCAGGGCAGGTTAGGAAACATCATCTTCCTTTTACAATTGTCTCTTACTCTTTACATTTCTGGAGAACTGGGATCTTGCTGTTAATCTTACAAAAATAGATGCTGTGGTGAAGCCTCAGGCATGAATAAAATTGGATGTTAATCTTAAAGCAGATTTTTTACAGCTATGCACTCAGAGCCAGTGAATCCAAATGATTCTGGAAACTCTGTGTTTGTTACTTATTTAGATCAAAATACTGTGGGGAAAGAGGTCAGTGCACAGGTACATGTGGGGCTTCTAAAAGTTGAGGAGATAAGCACAGCAAGCATTAGACATCTCTGGCTTGACACAAATAATAGGCAAAGCTGAAAAAAGCCTGCTGACAAGAGGAGTGGGTGTTGGTGGGTGACTTGCTGCAGTTTTAGAGCTGTTAAGTGTAGGTTTTTTAGCATTTTCATTATTTAAAAGTGGAGTGGTAGTTTCTTCACTCCCTCTGAAAAGTTACTAATTTACTCTGAAATACAGGGTAAGCCACAATGATTTAACAGATTTGTAATGTGCTTTAGAATGATTTCAAGTAACAGACGCCCTCCTTCTCTTCAAGCTTCCCACTGTCTCAGCTCTGCCCTTGCTCCTTTCTCTGTGTACATCTGCACCAAAATGCAAAGCAGGAGCTGCCCCATACGTGGCTTTCATCTATATCCAGTGTCAGCTGGAAAGCCTGGGTGGCTCTGACCACTGGTGCTCCTGCAGGTTTGCCTCATTCCTGGAGTTCAGAAACAGAGTGGCTGTAACAAGCTGAGTTAGCTACGTTTGGATGTTGGGAATGACATCCTAGACTGTGGAGTGATTCAAAAGCTGCTGCTCTGCAGGTACTGCTGCAGGTGGACAGACCTTCCCTGGAGGAGCCTTGACATGCAGAGGCTGTTTTTTACCTAGTGCCTGCAAAGTGCCTAGTGGAGCATGGTTAAGGACTGTGATTAAGTTTCCCAGGATGCTCCTGGGATACAGGCAGCATTAAGTAATCTGCAGTCTTCTGTGTCTGATTCAGAGAAGGCAGCAGAGTTGTGTTCCTGAGAGCTGTCCAACAAAGCAGGCAGCCTGAAGAGGTGGAAGGTGCTCAAGGATTGTCTCCTGTTGTCAAGGTGAACAGGTCTCACCTATCCCCCTCTCCGGCTGATTCATGCCCACGTACTGCTGTGCTGAACAGCCATGCAGGATGCTCCAGCTGCAGGCCTTCTGCATGGGTGATACTTAAATCTGATGGAGCCTCACTGAGAAAGAGCTGACCTTGCATTTACTCAGAGAGGTCTCTGGTGGTTTGTGGTAAGGAATTGGTACCTGAGGCTGAAGCCACAACCTCCAAGACCAAACCACAGAATTTACACAACTACCAAGGCCTGTCCATTTGCCTTCCCAGCTGAAGGTCTGTGTCATCACACAGCCGTTGCTCTTCTGTCTGCTCTTGTCGTTGTTTGAGGGAAGAATCCATTTGTTCAATATAGCAATGATGTCTAGCTCAGTTTAATTTTCTTGGCTGCTGCTGTTTTGTTAATATTCAGTGTGTCCGTGGGTTTGATTAGTATCAATAACCAAGGGTAGAAATACTTGAATGGAAAGCTAAGTGGAAATGCAGAGGTTCTGGAGGACTTCAGGGTTTCTTTTGCTCTTCTTTGTTTCCCTGTACTTGAAGGCATGGAAAACACTTGTCCAGTCATAACTGAAACTATTCAAGATGCACAGGCCTGAAATGTCACCTTAAGTTTCTGTTACTCTCTGATGTGGATCCTGTCTTCCAGCAAACTTTATGGACAACAGCTTTTGTTACAAGGAGAGATGGTAAGTTTGTGCACTCAACTTCTTTTTAGAAGAATATTTTATTGTGAAACCTTTCTTTATCCAAAGGCTTGAGCCTTTGATCTGGGAGCTTACAGGGTGGGTAAATGCAGCTGTATTGGGCTGGATAGATGTCACCCTCAGGGATTCACACATGTTACTCTCCTTGACCTGAACTGGAGAAGGGCCAGAGTTTGTTCACTTTTGCTTTCTGACATTGAGAAAAGTGAATGCTGTTCTACAGAACCTACAATTTCTTCCCAAGTAGATGATGACTACAGAAAGAAGGCCTGAGCTGACTACAGATAATCTTATATTTACTGGAAATGAATGTAGCTCATAACTCTTATTTTAGCACCAGTCTGGAACACTACAGTGAACAGATTTATAATGTCTGCCTCTTCCTTACCTTGGCTTTCTGGCATTTGTGCACTTATTGCACTGATACTGCACATTCTTGCACTGGTAATTGGGAATTTAATGAAGCCCAAATGAAAGGTGAGGGGGTAAAATGTAGATACTTTCAGAAACAAAACTATTCCTTTTGTGTGCTCCATAATCTTATTTTAGTTCTTCAATATGGTTTTATTCATCTGATACTAAGGGTCTCAGCACTGATTTCAGTATATGTGTCATCAGCAGAGTTAATAACTGTTTTAAAAGTTGCATGTTCCTTTGTTCCTGCATTGAAAAGATCTAAATTCAGCCATGTGTTTCTAGACTAGGCACTTACAGAAAGGCCTTTTCTGTGTTATAGAAGAGCAGATTTAATCTGGAAGTCATTGAGATAAACCATTCAAGAACTTCCTTGATGTGATTTTTGGAGTTACTCTGTGGGACTAAATTGCATGTTTTCAGGTATTGAACATAAGGACACTTGAAACCTTAAAGAAGTTTAAATGTAGATGATAATGAAAATGTTACTGGTCTTTGTGGATCAGTTGATAATGCTGACATACTAAAGTGATATGAAATATGTCTTAGATTTCCTGGACAGTGCCGTACTTTATTGTAATAACATGATCCTTGATATACATTGATGATACATTTACCTTTATAAAAAGTTTTTTAGTAACTCAATTGCCCTGAAATGCCATATCCAAAGTATGTTTATTACAGAACACAGAGTTGCTGTCTGCCAAGTACTATCTCAATTATAACAACCTAAGCTAAGAAAACACATTTGGAAAAAACGTGCCAAGCAGTGGTGGTGGGGTTTTTTGATTTTTTTTGTCTTTTTTTTTAAACATTCATGAATAGTTGGAGTTGGTGTTTCAACTAAATTTCTTTCACCCAGATTATATGCAAATTTCAGGATTCTTCAAGCATAAGTCATATGCCAGAAGTATGGTATTAGCATTTCTTTTAATAAAAATAATTTTGGAATAGGCACCTTATTTGGTGAAGTGCCTCCCTTGTCATTCATCACTGTGTAACATCTCTGTAGAACTGCAGTAACTATAAGGAAGGAAAATACTGGAAAGTGTTTCTTGGAGCTGGGTTTGGCCTTTATGTAAAAAAAAAAATAAAAGCCAGTTTTTGTTCCTTACTTTGCCCTGTCCTTTTTGTGCTGTTGTGTACTGGAAGAAAACAGTAAAGGTGAGCACTAGATGAGCTGTGAATTCCCTTTGGACTAGAGTTTGGGAGTCTCTGCTCTTACACATGTTTTGGTGTTACTTTTTCCTGAGGGGCCTTATTCTCCAGATCTCAGAATATATTCTTCGAATGAGATTTCACATAGTTTGATAAATGTTTGGATAAATTTCATACCATCTTATCAAAGCAGACAATAGTTCTTTCTTGAGAAACAGAGCTTAAATAAAATGCTCATTTATGTTGGTGAGATAATAATTAAGACTACAGATCCAAATCAGTGATTTGTTTTTCTATTGCAGGAGTAGGCTGAATCAAAGCCTCTCTGTCAACAACTAGGGCTGAAATACTGAATTAACATACCAAACAGTAGCACACCAGGAGCATAGTCTTCTACTTGGAATAGTGTTGAGCTACTGCTCACAGAAGCTCTGGAAACCTTGTGAGGCTCGGACAAACACAGGGCATCCTCAGACAGCAGGGATGTTGCTGCTCCCTGAGCACTCAATGCTCTGTGTTCATGGCTGATGGAAATATGCCCAGTTTTGGGGGAGCTCGGTGGTATGAGAGACAGTGCTCTAATAGGATGGCTTATTGCTTTCTTGTGGAGCAAGGTAGAGCTGTTCTCTTTTGAACCTGCAAAACTGGTATAATATTAATTAGACTCTCATCAGATTGCATTAGTGAAGCCCCATAAAATGAAAAAGGAAAGGCTCTATAGTGATGCTGAAACTTGGTGTGTCATTTATAAGAAGTGAGTAAGCAGAGATCAGTAGCCATGAAGACACTGCTTTTCTGGAAATATGAAATATTTAGGTAAAATATCTAGGTAAAATCTGAATGGAAATTTGATTGCTACCTGATAAAATGGTGCTTCTTCCCTTCCAAATAGGTTTGATTCTCTCCTTAATGCAAGCCCCACACCTTCACCTAGATTCCTTCCTGGGCAGCTGCAGTGGATCTGAACACCAAGGGAATTTGGCCCACTGGATTCCTTTCCTTTCTCTGCAGTTGAATGAAAAGTGTGTGTCTTTTGAAGAACAGCAACTGAAAGAAATATTGATGACTGCCAGAGCATCTACAGAAAAGGATAAGAAAATTACTACAACAGTGGAGACAAAGGGGCTTTGTTAACTCTTTCTTGTAGGTTGTATATATTAATAGAAACAAGTAAAGTTTTGTATTTTTTAAGAGAAACACACAAGGCTTTGAATTGTATTGTTTTAGTTGCAGCTAACGGAATGAATTAAGTGGAAAATTGAACACAGTACTTTGATTGTCTAACTCTCTGTATGTGAGGCTTTGGGAACAGTTTGTTATTATAAAAGAATAGTACTAACAAGAAAACAGCCAGCATGTAATTGCTGGGTTGAGGGGCAGTTTGAGGAAGGCTGATACTTATTTATAAATTATTAAATAAAAGCACATAATAAGTGGATCATCTCTCACTGCCTCCACACTTGATACATTACTCATCTTCCTAAATTTCATCTTTTTGTACACCCTTAGTCCATTGCTTCTTATAACCAGTGCAGGCATCAAAACCACCCACGTCCAGGAAAGGAGATGCCTGTGCATTTGTTATGATGGCAGTTTTGGTTATGGGACTCATCTAAGAATATGAACCTTCAGTTCAAGGACAGAAATTTTGACTGGACTTTTAAAGGTTGTTTTACGTGCCTAAATACACACGAGCACCTGGGACTCTTTTCAGGTAGCCTAAACTCTGACCAGTGTTTCAACTTGACTAGGTACCTTTTCTGATTTACAGCCAGCCTCTACCCTAAATGGAAGGACTGAAGAGCAATTTGGGCATTAAATTTACCAAGGTTCTCAAAAACACATTGGTTATGTAATTCCCATCAATTTTGGTAAGAAAGAGGTAACTTCTGATTATCTTGTATTGTTCTCATTGCTCATTAGTGCCTTACTGCCTTAGTAAACACAGCCACTTGCAAGACACAGAGAGGAGGTCAGTGGTGGTTGGGCTCACCAAGAAGGTAGAACAGTATTTCATCCTCAATGTTTTTGACTATTTCAGCCCTCCTGGAGGATGGAGTTGCCATTCGTTCCTCTAGCATAAATTTGAGGGCTGTCTTCTAGGAAAGCAAGGTGTCTCTGTTTCAGAGGACCCAGTTGCTAACTGGTTGCACTGACACATAAGCAGTTCCTCACATGCCTATGTTACGAGGAGGTGGGTAATGTCCTGGCCTCACAAAGTGAGGTGCATGTCCTACAGACAGAGGGAGCATCGTCTGGGGATGGAAAGGTGTGCCAGCACCTGGATAGCTGGCTCTGCTGGACACGTATTTGAGCTTGCTGTGCTGCTATATACTAAGACATTCGTGCTGTATAAACAAACCACACTGTTAAACCACTTAAACAGTGTTTATGCAACTTTAAAATGGTAGAGGCTTAATTTTTTACTTCATCCGCAAGCTTATTAAAATTTACGTATCCACACTGAAATGGTGTGAAAAGATTAAATTGCTAATCCTGGCTACCAGCCTAGCTGATGTGAGACTGTTGCACAGAAGGTGCCTGAGAGGTGGAACTGGGCAGAGTTTATCTTTGCATAGCTGTTGCCAAAGAGTTGCTTGGTATCCCTGTCACTGTTTTTTGAAGTCCAAAAATATTTTCCCCCAAATAATAACCTATTTTTTCTGCAAGAGAACACAGCTGCATCTATGAAAGGTCTTGGCTTTTACAGTAAGTCTGGTTTGTATAGTTTCCTCTCTATATGTATGTTGTCTGCAGAATTACCAACAGTCATAATGAAAAACACAGTTTTGTTACAGGAGCTTTCAACAGTGGTTTTTAGTAATTTAGAAAATATTGGAGCTACTTCCAACAAATGAAAAAAATCGAAGCAGCTTTGAAAATGTTGATACACTTAGGGAAATAAATCTTTGGTTTTAGCTCTGTTATTCTCTCTCTGATACTAAAACCAATATAAAGCACTACTGATTTCAATCAGCTCAACAGGGGATACTGTATGGCTTCCACTCCACTGTTCCCTGGGTTGGGGGGCTAAATCTCAGCTTTGGCTGGGTTTTATGGGACAGCCTCTCTTCAACCTTTGTGTGCACTGTGAAAGCTGTCCTCGTTGCACCTCTTTTTCCAGCACAACGTGGGAAAGTTCCTGGATTAAATTCTCCTCTATCAGAAAACTTGTATGGGAGGCGCTCAAAATGTAAGGCCTTTCAATCCCTTGTGAGTTCGCAGCATTTAAAGATAAGATCACAGTATTGCCAAGAAATGTGTCTTGTTGAGGCCCACAATTAACTTTATCAAAAGAAGGAATCTTATTTTTGTCTGCTGTGGATAGAGGTTGCATCTCAATGCAGCCTAAAGTTAAAGATAGATATAGCGTCTGGTTCAGATCAAGATACGATGAAAGATTCAGGTTAATTAGTATTTATTCTTAGTTTATAGTTATTCCTTTTGGCTTGAGCTAACAAGCAGGAGTTGGAGCCCCACAAACTTGTGTCTCCTGGGATAAGAGATGAATGAAGGAGACGGTCTCTGTGGCAAAAACATATTTAGGGAGATGGGAATGCCAGTAAGAAAGACTGGCCATTGCCTTGGGCTCTGATAGCCCACAAGGGAGGATGCTCTGAGGGATGGCTCAGTGCCAGCAGGGAAGACTGAGTGTAGGCATGGACTGAGGCATCCCACGGGTCCATGGAGAAGGGGAGGTGTCCCAGGTCCCTGCCTCATCCAGTGCCCTCACACCTCCATGTCCACACAACCCCTGTCCACCACCTGTTTCCCTTTCTGGGTGTTTTTGGCCACAGGAAGTGGTTGTGCAAGGCTGAGCCAGCAGCTGGCTGGCTGCCAGCCTGTGGAGAAAACTTCCTAGAGCTCCTCCAAGGCTTTCAATTCCCCTTTCTTGCCACTGTTTCCTGCAGCACCACACAGGCTTTACCAGCAACAACACCACAGTGTAAGTGCAGCTGTTCATCTTAGAAAGAACTATTTTCCTCCTGATGTCTCCTAACTGCTTCCACAGACAGAAGGAGCCCACTGGCTGGAGGGAAGCACTCCTCACTTTTTCGGTTCCCATTTTTACACACTCTTTTTTCCCTCTCCGTTTGTGTTCATTTGAGATGTTCCTAACAGGATCTCCGGTGTATTTGAGCAGAGCACCTCTTTTACAGTAACCTCACGGGCTGTTTGTACCCTCAGGCACTCGAAGAGTGGGGGGAATTCTCTGGCTTCGCAGGTTCCAGTGACCTGGGCAAGGGCAGACCCATGGTGGGCAGGCTCTGGGACTCCTGCCCCGCAGCCATAGGGCTGCATTTTCCCACTCTCCGACACAATGGTCTGGGTGCCCCTAGCAGGTGAGGCTGTTGTTATGAAGGGCTATAGGGAGGGCATTCCTGAGGGGCTGTGGAGATGGCAGGCAGGCTGTGGGTGTCACTGGGCTGAGGCAATGGAGGTGATGGCAGGCAGGCTGTGGGTGTCTCTGCGCTGAGGCAATGAAGGCAGTGGTGGATGGGCTGTGGGTGCCTCTTGTCTGAGGGGACGGAGGGTGGGCTGAGGGTGTCACTGAGCTGAGGCGATGGAAGGTGGGCTGAGGGTGTCATTGGGCTGAGGGGATGGAGGGTGGACTGAGGGTGTCACTGGGCTGAGGGGATGGAGGGTGGGCTGTGAGTGTCACTGGGCTGAGGGGATGGAGGGTGGGCTGTGGATGTCACTGGGCTGAGGGGATAGAGGGTGGGCTGTGAGTGTCACTGGGCTGAGGGGATGGAGGGTCGGCTGAGGGTGTCACTGGACTGAGGCGATGGGTATCATTGGGCTGAGGGGATGGCAGGAAGGCTGTGGGTGTCACTGGACTGAGAGGCTGGCAGGCTGTAGGTGTCAATGGGCTGAGGGGATGGCAGGAGGGCTGTGGGTGTCACTGGGCTGACGCAATGGTGGGAGGGCTGTGGGTGTCACTGGGCTGAGGGGATGGCAGGAGGGCTGTGGGTGTCACTGGGCTGCCATCATGGCATGGATGGAGTCAGGCAGCTTTTACTTTGTGGGCATGGCTGCACAGACCAGCCAGTGTACGTAGATTTGTGACTTCTCCCTTGCCCTTCTTTCTGGAAGTGTTTGCTTAAAAGTATCAACAAGACCTAAGTTCAATTTCCTTAACATGCTTTTGACTCTTTTTGCCTCCAGGCCCTGGGGAGACACTGGCCCCTGCAGCTGCCTCAGCCAGGCTGTGAGATGAGGCTGAACTTGCAGTCCCCCTTCCTGATGCTTCTGTTTACAGGGGCCTCTCTGAGGAGCTGTGGGGTTCAACAGAGATAAGATAGCACAAACTAGGGTTTTGGATGCAAGTTCACTTGCAGAAGGGTGGTAAAAGGGCCTTCAAACTTGCATATAAGTAAAATAGGGGGTAATTCTCCCCTGGAAACACCATAGCAGTCTCTAGAGGGATTCCTGAGAAGCAAACTCCAGCCTCAGAGTGAGGTGCTGGGCTTTGCAAAACCTTGGTCTCTCACTTCTGCAGCCTGTGGCAGTTAAGCAGGAGCCTTGGTGAACAGAGCTTGTTGCTTTTAGCACAGGAAAATCCTAAGCTTAAAACAACCTATGTATAAAAAATGTTGAGAGCACCAATTTCAGTGCTTATGCCACCATAAAGAAACTACTAAAATAAAGAAAAGCAGGAAAATGCTTAATCGTGGAGCTTTATTATGTCCTGCTGTGCTGGTGATGAAGACCTATCACTTCCTGCAGCCTCTGCAATGAGTCTGACGGCTCTGAGAGAGCACAGACTTGTTCCAGGGTTGAACATGGACATAGTTGTTGAGTCTAACTAATGTCTAATTATTATACCTGATTTTCAGAGTGAGCCTTTCTTTCAATATGAAATGTATATTTTTACCCTTTTCTGAACTGTTGTTTCAAGATGACTATACTGAATGTTAGTAGGTACATACTGAAGAGGATGGGGCTGAATTAACTTTTTGAAATAGCTCTTCTACCACAAGGATTAATATCTAGTGCCTTCCTTTTAACTGATGGCTTTTATTCTGTAGTATAAATTTCTGGTAGTGTCTCTGGAGTATATTTGTAAGTATATTTGCCAAAGTTATATATTGAATAATTCCTCTATTTCCAGAATGCCTGAAATGACCACACACAGAATGTAATTAAAAATGAACATACTATATTATTCTGCTTTTCTATCAGCTTTTTAACATCTTACTAGGAAACACCTTTTCCTGTCTTCTTACATTTTCTATATAAATTAATGTCATTGGCATGAAGAAAACAAGCATATTTAATGAAGGGCATTGACTAAAACTATTAATTTGTGTTAGAATATTATGAAGCATTATTTCCACGCCACCAGCTGTTACAGAACCCAACCAATCAAATATCATGCGGAAGCCTGTGGTTTTCAAGTATTTGGGGTGTAGAAGAGACTTTTTTTCATGAGGTATTGACTGGTTGACAAGTCAGACCATATATATTTTTCTGTCCTCTGATGGCTGGTCAGAATTAAGCAAAAGATGTCTTGGAAAAGAAAGGAGATGTTTTAGACTCCCAAACACGATTAGTTTTCACCTGGTGATTATCATATACTCAGCTCTTTGATTTAAGCCTTTGATGGAGTTTCCACTCCAGAGAAGTGGAGCATGACTGAAGCAGAGATTGACACTATGGCAGGTTTTGAGGGCTTTCAGCAATGCCCTCGACAAACACAGCACAAGTGCCAAAGTACATGTGTTTCTTGAGATAACACTTCACCAATGTTGTGTTAATTCCTCAACTAGTATAATTACTAAGACAGTAAAAAGCACTTGGAAAGAATATCTTTTCCAGGAAGTTTTCTGCTGCTGGTTTTGGTTGAATCTACCTTACCATATAGGTATGTTCTTATCACACACTCTGTGCAAGGAGAACACTCCCTAATAGTAAAAAACTAGCAGGACACAGCTGCCCACCAGACAGTCTCTCCAAAGTGGATGACACTGTCCAAGAGAGAGAAATTTATTTGTGGACCTAGGAAAAATCCCTGTTAATGAAGGTATGTCTTTCTTGGAAGAGGTCTCAAACAGTATGGGCCTGAGAATCCCCAACCTTTCCTTCTTCCTTTACTTTTAGCTTTCTGCTATCTTGGTAGGAGGTCTCCTTTTTATGTGTATTAGTTCCTAGGAACTGAATGTAACTTTTGTCTGTTGATGGGTTTTGCAGCATTTGCAAGATGACCCTTTCCCACTGCCCTGAATGCTTTCCCATTCTGCATGGATGATGCACATGTTCTTGGTCTGTTTAGATTATTTTTCACCAGAAGTAAGTTCTATTTCATGAAAGTGGAGAATTGTGGAGAAAACTTATTGACTGCTAATGCAGCTTGGGCAGATGCTTAACAAAACAGTAAAATAAATACATGCTTTGGAGTGTTTAACTTTCTCTCTATACCCCCCTCTTTTTTATCTTTGCTGAAATTCAGGCTGTCAGTGTTGGTACCCTGTTTTGTTGTTGGCCCTTCTGAGTGTGCTTGGTAAACTGCTGACTGAGTGCATTTGGGAGGGTGGGCCCTGTGCTGGTGTCATTGCAGCCTGTGATAGAATGAAAATAGGTTTTGCGCCAGTATTTCAGTGTTTCTAGGGAGGTCCTTGTAGAATCAGAAGTGGGCAAATGCTGTAGTGGGTGTGTAGCCTAAATCATGTTCTGTGGATGCTCACATGGATGAGGCTACCATAGCGTGGGGGTTATTGCTGTGAGCAGCAGCTCCTCCAGTGCTGTGGGCTCCGCTTTGTTTGGGAAGAAGTAGAAAAGACAAGATGGAGAATCTGCCCTTGACACCAGGTTTTCCTGTCTTTAGGAAACCAGTAGAGCAGCCCATTGCTCTCTGGCATTGCCAGTGCATCGCCCTAGAGAAGGTGGGTGTCTTATTTGAAACACACCACTTTCTCTTTTCAAAGAACTCTCTCCAAGCCTCAGGGACCATATGTTTCTGTCCTCACCAAGGAACTGCAGATACCCAACTATACAATCACCTTTCCCTCTCCATATTCTAGGGAAAATGATGGACAATCAGTTCCATTAAAGCCGCTCTTGTGCTTAGGTATTCAGGCTCTATCTGTTCAGACATATCTGTGAGACCAACAAACCAAGTGAAGGCTTCAGCACTCCTGGGGCTCCTGCGTTCCTCCCTGTGGACCTTTCAGCCTATTAAACTCACCTCTGGAAGAGCCCTGCTTTTCCCCTTGGAGACTGTGGTGCGCAGAATGGAAAATTTTAATTAAGTGTTAGGCTTG